GAGAATCACCCAAGCTAGACACCTGGGAGCCACTTTGGTCTTCCTTCTTCTCAGTTTAATTAGAAACCAAGACCTGTTGATTGCATTTCCTTAGCCTCTCTTCTGCCCTCTCCTCTCTTCTACTCCCACTGCTTTGGTTTAATGACCATTGCCTGTCAATCAACTGTGTTCCACCAGAGAGCCATTGCAAAGTGTTCATCTGATCCCACCTTGCAGGACAAAGTCCAAGTCCTAAACTTGGAGTCCCTGCAAAACCTGACCCCTGCCCACATCTGCAGCCTCATCCTCAGCAACATCAATTCCCTAGCCATGCCAAACCTCTTGCAGTTTCCTGTAATTGCAGAGATACCTAGAATACTTTTTTTGAAAAGTAAATTCCCAGGCTCTACCTCAGGAGGTTCTGGTTCAGTGGACCTGGCATGAAGGCCCATGAATCTCTTCTTTTCAAGATGCTCCCAAGTGATTCAATGGTCATCTAGCCTGGAGATTACTTCCTACTTTGAGGATTAAATATGCATAACAACACCCTGTAAACTGTCAGTTTCCACACAGATGGCAGCCAGTGCTAGCGAGAGAGGAAATGCACTGAAGAGCAGGTGGATGGCACCAAGGCTAACCCAAGTAGGAATTCTCCCTTCCCTCCCAGAAAAATTGACCAGCAATGAAAACAGTCCCACAAGCCCAGCCCAGGGAAAGTTTATAATACTCCCAGAAGATTTTTCAACCAATTTTTAAACTAGCAAAATTGTTTAATTGAAAGATTCATATAAGGACCCCAAATTCCCACAGCCACTGTTAGCAGAGTACCAGCAGCCTTCCTCCTCTGTGTTCTTTCTGGTTGAGCCCAGATCCTGTTCAGGGTCTACATCTTCCCGTCACGGTTGAGGAAAGGCCAACTATGGAGGGCCTTCTTGCCACAGCTGGTTGAGACAGGGTTGGGATACGGCAGAGGAGGCCTGCACAGTAGCTTCTTGAAGAAATTACTTTCTCGTAAGAAGAGACATTTCGCCCTTTTCCCCCATTGGATATTTCCATGTGTGCACAGGGTGCTTGGAACTATGGCAGCCCACCTGCCATCTTGAGAAGGGTTAGCACAAAAATTACACCCTGAGGAAGGCAAAACAGAAAACAGGAGGAAGCCGGGTCCTCACGGGTGTGGCTGAGCCATCAAACTAATCAACCCTGGAATTTCTTTTTATGTGAGATGATAAATCCTCTTTCTGCTTAAGCCATTTTTAGTTGGGTGTCTGTACTTTGCAACAGCTGTTACACACTAATGTATAAAACTGATTAAAATTGACAAATTATTATTAAACATTTATTTTATAGGCTTTAATTGATAACTTTTATTATAAGGAGATAATGAAGAATCGCTGAGACACAAAACTTAAAATGGGGAGTTATGGATATAAATTGAAGTCATATCAGTTTTAGCATTCAATTTATTTTAGCATTTTGTTTTGAATGTGTAATAGTGAAGGAAGTCTAATTTCCACAGATGAGTAGCTGCAAATGGGGTACCAGTTTTTTTTTTTTAATTTGCTTTGCAAACTTAAAACACTCTTCACTTAACAGTGATGTCAGGAAAAGCTTTACTCCGACATCTGGGCTTAACACAGGCAAAATTAGGTTGGCAGCCACAAGCAAATGCGCTGTTAAAAGCTGATGTATAATACATTGTTTGTTTACATTAAAAATATACAGTATTTAAAAATTTCAGCTGAGTGTGGTTGGCTCACACCTGTAATCCCAGAACTTTGGGAGGATGAGGCGGGTGGATCACTTGAGGTCAGGAGTTCAAGACCAGCCTGGCCAACATGGGCGTGCTGGTGGGTGTGTGTAATCCCAGCTACTTGGGAGGCTGAGGCAGGAGAATCACTTGAACCCAGGAGGTGGAGGTTGCAGTGAGCCGAGATTGCACCACCGTACTCCAGTCTGGTCAACAAAGTTAGACTCTGTCTCAAAAAAAAAAAAATTTAAAACAAATATTTGCAAAATATTCAAATGATCTCAAAAATGTCCACAGGGATCTTAGGTTCTTCAGAATACACTTTCAGCCCCTCTGTCCTAACTTGTGTTAATGATATGCAGTCTATCTAAAATCCAAATTTCAAATGTGGTAGACAAATCCTTTCCCCCTGCTATAACTCCAATTTCCAGGACTCAAAGCTGGACCCTGATTAATGTCATTCAAGTCTGGCAATAAGACAAGTATTTCTTTAGCCTCGTAGAAAATGCACTCAAGACCAGGCATAGTAGCTCATGCCTGTAATCCAGCACTTTGGGAGGGCAACGAGGGCAGAACACAAGGTCAAGAGTTTGAGACCAGCTTGGCCAGTATGGTGAAACCCCATCTCTACTAAAAAAAATAAAAATAAAAATAAAAAAATTAGCTGGGTGTGGTGACACGTGCCTGTAGTCCCAGTTACTCAGGAGGCTGAGGCAGAAGAATCACTTGAACCTGGGAGGTGGAGGTTGCAGTGAGCCAAGATTTCCCCACTGCACTCCAGTCTGGGTTACAGAGCGAGACTCCATCTCAAAAAAAAAAAAGAAAGAGAATGAAAGAATGAATAAATGAACAAAAGAAAGAAAAGAAATAAAGAAAAAAGAAAAAGAAAGAAAGAAAGAGGAAAGAAAGGAAGGAAGGAAGGAAGGAAGAAGGAAGGAAGGAAGGAAGGAAGGAAGGAAGGAAGGAAGGAAGGAAGGAAGGAAGGAAGGGAGAAAGAAAAAAAGAAAGCAAAGAAAGAAAGAAAGAAAAGAAAACGCATTCAAAGGAGGTGGCATTTTGCAGCGGGGAAGGGCTGAATGTGAGTTCAGACCACATGGACGGGCTCTTTCTTCTCACCTCCTTCCCCAGGCTCCAAAGCACTCCTCATGCCCGTGCCCAGCACCGGCTGCAGAACCACCCTGAGAGGGACTGGCAGTCCACACTGAGGCCGGTCAAGAGAAGTGGGTGTCTTGCTTCTAGCTGCTGTAACAAGGTACCAAATACTGGATGACTTATAAACAACAGGAATTTCTTTTTCACAGTTCTAGAGTGTGGATGCCCGGGATCAGGGTGCCAGCTGGATCGGGTTCTGATAGCTTCCGGCTTCTGGTTATCTCAGAGAGAGGGAGCAAGCTATCTTCTGGCCCTGAAAGGGCACTAATCCCATTCACAAGGGCTCCCTTATGATCTCATCCAATTCTAATCACCCACAGGCCCTATCTCCCAACACCATCACCTTGGGCAGTAAGTTTTCAACATGTGAATGTTGGGGGGACAAGACATTCAGCCCTTTGAGACAGGAGCCAGCTCCCTTACCAGCCCACAGGAGCCTTGCCCTCTAAGCCTACCTCTCCCAACCCCAGCCGCCCTTCCTTTGTGGTTAAAACCTGGCTGTTTTCCAAGTTCATGTGTTCATTTTCTAACCAGAAAGAGCCAACAGGGTGGGGACCTGGTATTGAGGGAGGTCTTCTTCGTCTTTCACATATTCTTTCTGCAGCCGTTTCCCCTCCACCCCACTCCCATCTTCCACCTGACTGGGCACAATGGTTTTCTACTTTTCAGTCTCTTCAAATGATCATAACAGGAAAAAATCTGGTCTCAATATTATTCTTTAACTAAAACACACCAAAATGCTCCAAGCTATTTGTTTACTGAAGAAATGAAAGACTGAGCATCTATTGGGAAAACCTGAGACACTAGGTACAGATCAGGGGAGGTTTGGGGGGCAACAGGGACTTCATCTTGTCCTGGCAGGCATGGCCTCCTCAAGAACCTAAATCATTTCAGAGCCCTGGGGACTAGGTGGAAAGGGACAAAAGGGCCCTGAGATGATCTCTTTTTGAGCCTGAAGCTCCTCATCTCCCCACCCACTTGTTGGGGATCCAGAGATGAGAACCACTGCATCCAGATGTGCAGTTCACAGCTCACACAGTTGCGCAGGGTGGCCCTGCCAGCGCCCTCTCCATTGCACAGTCTCAGTGCTTTGTGCTGTCATTCCCACTCAGCAAATCTCTTTAAAATGCCTGCCATGTTTCAGGCACTATGCTAAGCATAGAACAAATCAAGATAAATAAAATATAACCTCCAGAAGACACAGTCTAGTGCAGAAAACAGACACCTGAAAATAAATATCCAGTGTTAAAAAAAAAAAAAAAAAGTCATACGCAAAATACTATATCAGCAGAGAAGGAAGATACAACGTGGCCAAGAGGATCAGAAAACTTCCAAGGGAGTGTGAAATTTTCGGCAGAATCTTTAAGGAATAGGAATTCCCTATATAGACAAGAATATTCTAGGCAAAAGCCACTGGCTGGGCAAAGGCACACAGACATGAGGCTGGCTGATTTTTGCATAGCAATTCGATTTGACTTCTACCCTAGATCTTCCCACCATACCTGGAGTCCCCTTAGTTCCTCTTGCCTCACAGCCTTTTAGGTAACTCTGCCCCTGGGCTCTCCTTTGTCTCAAAGGACTGGAAAGTCAAAGAAGAGATTCCTCGGCCAGGAGTGGTGGCTCACGCCTGTAATTCCAGCACTTTGGGAGGCTGAGGTGGGTAGATCACCTGAGATCAGGAGTTCGAGACCAGTCTGGCCAACATGGCAAAACCCCGTCTCTACTAAAAATACAAAAATTAGCCAGGCGTGGTGGTGAATGCCTGTAATCCCAGCTACTTAGTAGGCTGAGGCAGGAGAATCACTTGAACCCAGGAGGCGGAGGTTGCAGTGAGACGAGATTGCGCCATTGCACTCCAGCCTGAACAATAAGAGCAAGACTCCGTCTCAAAAAAAAAAAAAAGAAAGAAAGAAAAGAAAAAGAAAAGGAAAGAAAAGGAAAAAAGAAAAAAAAAGAGAAGAGATTCCTCAAGTGTGTGCAAAGCTAGGGGGCCCCAGAAGAGGAAGGAAGTTTACTTGTCTGAACATATCCCATGGTGTATAGATAAGCAGTAAATCCTTATCTCCTACACCAGAATTCCTCTAAGTTCATGATATTGCCGTTTTCTCATTCAATTCACAGACAGGGAGTATCTCTTACATCCTAGCAGCTGTGCGAGGAGATACACAGAGAAATCAAACACGTAGTTGCCCGCAGGGTCCTTATTGGCAATGTTTCATGGTGTCTTTCCCCAAGGGTCCAGTTGCCTGGACCCAGAGCAGGAACTGACTCTGCAGATTTGGAAAAGTGGCAAAACATCTTTTTCCTGCCCATCAGCACCTTTCACCCTCTTTGCCAGCTTTAAGACTTCAAGACCACCTCCAAAAACTACTGAACGTGGTGTAGAGATTCCACTGTATTTGGAAGAGGCAGGATAGAATACTAGAAATAAAAGGAGGAAGGGAGAGACAGGAGAAAAGGGAGAATGACCACTCTCCTGCATAACTGCCCAGCATCTGCTAAGAAAATAAAAACGGCTGTATTTGCAGCCAGAGGCTTGTATCATCAACCACGCGTAGATCAATACATGTTTACCGGTGTTCACTGTTCTTTTTGTCTATTTCTTTTCTTTTTTTTTTCCTTTGGACTTTCAAAATAGTCTCTTCTTTTAGGAGAGAAAAAGATGTCCTTAATTTAACTCTTACAAATCATATCTAATGCATAGTTATCCAGAGGCTTTACTTTATTCAAATGAAAGATATAAGTAAGTTTTGGGTTAGTGAAAAGGAAAGATGTGATTTATTAAAATCAAATGTATTTGGCGTATGAAAGGGTGTAACCTAGAAGATGGCATGGGGAGGAATTCCACAGGCCTATGGCAATTTAAATGTGCTCACGCCAGTCTCAGATGAAGGAGTGTTTTAGATTGTTCATGACTATCTAAAAGAAAAGGAAGAGGAAAAGGAGGGAAGAAAAAGGAGAAGCAGCAATTGCCAAGAGACAGTTGTTCACTCCAATAAAGTAATGATCTGTGCAAACTCTAATTATTGTATTTGCAAAACAATATGTGTATAATTTGTGGACTTTCCCCCTCTCTTTTTAGCACAATAAAGGATTCATTTCATAAAAACATTCTGTGTTTTCTTTAGATGATTTGGACAAAAACAATGCATCTTTAATTCTGAAAACAGAGTAATGGATCCTTGAAAGATTTATCTGAAAGCAAATACATTTGTCATTCTATATTGATAATCTTGGCTGTTCATTACCATATCCAGCCCATCATTTATATGCAGATGACACTATCACTTATGGTAGTAGATTTTGCTGGGAGAAAGCTTAATATTATCTTCAAGCTGATTTAAATGAGCTTTAAGATCATCTGGCACAATCTAAATTACTCTTAAATATTAATGAAACAAAGATCATGTTATTTGGCTCAAAACAATAATTGGGGGGAACTGAAAAACTGGCATGCAGCATGATCTTGTCGAAAAGTCTCAGTGATTCAAGATTTGAGGTCTATCCTGCCCTCACCTGAGACCAAAAATGCAACTGCTCAGCATGGAAGGATGGAAGAATCAAAAACTTCTTATTCGAGTACACACAGTTCTTACAATTCTTTTTTTTCTTCTGAAGAAAAATTGTTTTCCATCTCTCCAGTGTTGCAATTATGTGCCTTGGGTTTTGTTGGCTTTATTTATCTGAATGCAGCTCAACATTTGTTAGCCAAGTTAAAGATGCTTTCTCCTCTCTATCTGGACAGATTTGCCTTAAATTATACATCTCATAAACATTACCGTCTGTCGTCTTTTAAACAATTGGCTAAAAATTAGAAGACTCTCAACATTTTGTTGGCATAATAGCTTCTCTCACACTCTGTTTCCCAACATCAGATCACTTAACTCTTCTTGTTCAGTCATCCACATTTTCTCAGCAAAATTTAGTGAATAGGGGAGAAAAAACAATAGCTGAAAGAAGTAATCCTTCGACAGCCCACAGCACTTAAACTCAGTGTGCGCCTGCATGCGTAAATGTGTGCACATGCATGTACTTATGTGCGAAAATGTTTTAAATTATGTAGATGACCTTTCTGGATCCCTTTGCTCTCAGATGTCTCACTAAATCAATGGGGAATCTCTTGCTGCTGGCCAGGGCTATAATGAGGCTCATGAGATGCCACAGCTGAGGCGAGAACATGGCTGTTTCCCTGGCTGGTATCCCTGGAGAGGATGTAGATGCTCATGGAACTTGAGGCTGAGCCCCAGACCTGGCCAGCAGAGACAGCTCAGCCCCTGGCCAGTGATGAAACTGAGGGAGCTTCAAGGCAGGAATGGGGGATGCTCAGGAAGAAAATGATGAGAGCGTATTGGGACAGATAGCCATTTTGTTGTTATTGCTAATGGTTTTCATTTACTGCAACCTGCCTGACTTTCGGAGGATTTGCTCAGTCATCAGCTTAATTGAGCCCTATGGCCTAATCATATCCACTAGCAGCAACGGAGATGTCATGTTCCAGGGACCTTCTGAAGGTGTCAATAGGAAAGGATGTCCCCTGGAAGGCAGCATGGGCAGGAATCCCCTAGGTCTATGGCAATATGAAAGCATGACAGCACTTTCATAGTCTTGAATGCTGTGTGTCCATGGGTCTCTGCTCTCATGCTTATTCTGTACTCTGACTCTCACTTGCAGATATTCCATAATCTGCCATTCTAAGAAAAGGAAGTCGAGTCAGAGAAGGGTTGAGTGTGTGGGTAGGTGGATGAATAGGTGGGCAGATGGTGACTGTATACAGCAAAAAAATAGGGATTGTTTTGTTGCTGGCTCAACAGATCTCTCCATACCTTTAGAAAAGAGAGAGAGAAAGAGAGAGAGAGGAAAGACTGGCGTGCAGATGGTCCCTCACAAGACAAGTTAAGCTGAAGAATTTCACATCTGCTAGGGAAGTGGGAAAATGTGTTCACCTATGGCAAGGCTTAGCTTCCAGACTTGTGTCAAGTGACTGCTTTTAATCCTCTTCTTGAAGGCCCAGTTCAAAGTTATCTTTTCTGCCACGCTTCCTCTAACTTTCCTGGGAAGGCTTCATCACTCCCTCATCTATGCTCCTATAGCTCTTTGTTCATATCTCATTTAGAGCCCTTCTATTTTTTGTGTGTTAGGATTGCATACATGTTGAAATCTCCACTGGGCCAGTCCCAGCCATTGTCTACTCAGATCTCTCACAATCCTTCTTCCTTGGCAGCACAACACAACTTGGCTGAGTATCGGTGGCTACGTGCATCAGGGGAGCGGGGTCCTTCCCCTCCCAGGCGTGTGAGCCCCACTTGCTCTCTCCAAGCATGGCAATTCAGTCACGGGTCAGTGCTTCTCAGTATGTGATGTGGTCTCATCAATGAGGCAGGAAAGGAAGTGTGCTAGGGCGGGGAAAGGTGGACTTCTAAGAAGTGTTTACTCCTAGCAAGAGACAAAAGGGAAGAGTTTACACATACAGATGTTGTTTTGTGGGAACATGAACACTCAGAGGTGCTGCAACCATCTTGTGGACAAAAGCCAAATTGAGGACAAAAGTGTATACTGAGGAAGGCAGAACCCAAAGATGGAAAGAACCTGGATCCTTGATGATGTCACTGAACCAACCCAGGGACATATCATCCCTGGACTTCCTGTGCATTTTGAGTTGTGTCTTCTGCAACTCACAGCCAAAAGCTTCCTTTCAACCCATTGTGTGTAACACAGTAGCCACTCATCACATACAGCTGGTTACATTTTAATTAATTTATATTTCATTATAATTTACATAATTTAAGATTTAGCTCCTTAGTCACACTAGCCACAAATCCAGTAACCCAGTACTCAATAACCACATGTGGCCAGTGGCTACCCTGTTGAACAATGCAGAATTACAGAACAACTCCAGCACCTCAGAAAGGTGCATCCCACAGCATGGCTCTCAACTGCAAACTCCTCAAAGACAAAATCCAGGTTGTTTTCATCTCTATTCCTGGTTCCTTGTGGATCACTGTGAAACAAAAATGCTGAATAAACGAATGAATTGTTTATTGTCTACTCTGAAGAAACTAGTCCTACTGGGTTCTAACAAATTTTTGCAGGTAGGGGGGCATCTCTCTCCACCCCAGTGATTCTTGAGTTCAGGCCGTGGCAATGTCTGTGGTCACAGCCACCAACTCATTGGCCATCTCTACTACCTCTCCTTTCCCCAGTCAGCAGCCCCTTCAAGCTGTTCCCTGCACTTTTTTTTTTTTTTTTTTTTGAGACAGAGTCTCTCTCTGTCACCCAGGCTGGAGTGCAGTGGCACAATCTCGGCTCACTGCAACCTCCATCTCCTGGGTTCAGGTGATTCTCCTGCCTCAACCTCCCAAGTAGCTGGAACCACAGGCACCCGCCACCATGCCTGGCTAATTTTTGTATTTTTAGTAGAGACAGGGGTTTCATAATGTTGACCAGGCTGGTCTAGGACTCCTGACCCCAAGTGATCTACCCACCTCAGCCTTCCAAAGTCCTGGGGTTATAGGAGTGAGCCACCCCACCCAGCCCCTTATGCCATCTTTTAACCATCTCCGGGAATCTGGCTTTTTCCAGCCTTACTTTGTGCCTCTAAAGCCCTGACCAACCTCTCTGCCTCTGAAAATCACAGATGCAGATAAAATGTTCGTTTAATCCATGTTTGCTCCATTCTTCAGGGTAATGTAGATGCAAGAACTATGTGTGTGTAGACAGAAGCTGTCCACACACCAGCCAGACATGAAGCTGGGTCAAGCATTCCAGCTTTGACTGTCAAGAGCCACAGCCTCCGGAGGGGCACTCCTCCCCTGCCTGTCCCTCTTGTCCTGTTGCTGAGCAGTGCTTGATCACTAAATTCCAAAGCATTGCCCTGCCCCTCAGGGGAAGAGAGTACACTTGGAATAAAGCTCTGCAGCTCCTTTAGAGTCCAAAAGCAGCATCTCTGCAGTAGCCTGGGTGAAGGGCTGCCAGGAGGATGCCAGGCACTGCCCTCTCCTTCAGCCTCAGGTCCCGGGAAGGGAACTCTGCCCTTCTCCATCAAAGAAGTCCACCTTCTATTGTTTGAATGGCTGGGGAAAGAGTCTTGCCTAAGCCTGATGGAACATGGATTAGGGTTTCTCCTGCTCTT